GACGAAGCAGCAGGAGCATCTGCAGCAGCTGCTGCTGCTGCAGCAGATACTGCTGCAGCAGCAAGCGCAGATGTGGGATACAGCTCATATACTCAGAGCTGTATCCAAGCAGCAGCAGCAGCAGCAGCAGCAGCAGCAGCAACAGCAGCAGCAGCAACAGCAGCAGCAGCAGCAGCAAGATGCTTTTGAATGTGAGATAAAGAGCAGCATAAGTAATATAAGACAGCAGCAACAAAACCACCATGAGTTGCTGCTGCAGATGCAGCAGCAAGTAGCAGCAAGTCGTGCTGATGTGCTGCAGGCAGCAGCAGCGCAGCAGAAACTGAGGCAGCGGCTGCAGCAGCTGAGCGTTGAGTTTAGCCGTTTGTCTTTTGGTGGGAGTGAGGAAGCAGCAGAAGCAGAGCGTCAGCAGCAGCAGCAGCAGCAGCAGCAGCAAGTGCAGCAGCAAGTGCAGCAGCAGCAGCAGCAAGTGCAGCAACAGCAGCAAGAGCAGCAGCAGCAGCAGGTGCAGCAGCAGCAGCAAGTGCTGCAGCAGCTGCAGCAAATACGGCAGCAGATGCATCAGGATGTTGTTGCTGCTCGCTGCATCAGCCGCTGCCTCAGGCTAGAAGCAGCAGCAATCTGCGATAGGTTGAAGCGAGCACAAAGAAGAAATAGTATATTAAGAGGAGCAGCAGCAACAGCAGCAACAGCAGCAACAGCAGCAACAGCAGCAACAGCAGCAACAGTAGATAGACAAGCTGCAGTTGAAACGGCAGCAGCAGAAACCGCAGCAATCAGTTTCCAGCAGCAGCAGCAGCAGCAGCAGCAGCAACAGCAGCAAATGCAGCAGCATCATGTGCGACAGCAGCAACAGCAGCAGCAGCAGCAGCTTAAGCAGAAGCACATCCATAAACAGCAGCAGTTGCTGCTGCAGCAACACCAACTGCTGCAGCACTAACGGCATACATACACCCCAAGCAGCGAAACAAGTAACAACTCAGCAGCAGCAGCAGCAGCAGCAGCAGCAACAGCAGCAGCAGCACTCTAGCTGCAACGCGAGCAGCAGCAGCAACAGCAGCCGCACTGTATGTAGCAGCGCCTCGAGCAGCAGCTGCGCTGCTGCAGCAGCGCAGCAGCAGCAGCAGCAGCAGCAGCGCAGCAGCAGTGCAGCAGCTGCTGCAGCAAAAGCAAATGCAGCAACCTGCTGGCTGCAGCAATCCAGTGGGCCCGAAGGCCCCTAGCCCGCGGCAGCAGCGCAGCAGCAGGTGCAGCAGCAGCAGGTGCAGCAGCAACAGCGCAGCAGCAGCAGCAGCAGCAGCAGCAGCGCAGCAGCAATGCCAGCTACTGCAAAAGCAGCAGCAGAAGTGGCAGCAGCAGCAGCAGCAGCAGCAGCAGCAGCGCTTACATCAGCAGCAGCACCTGCAGCAAGAAGGTGAGTAGTCGTAGCTGCAGCGCTAACAGCAGCAGCAGCAACAAAAACAACAATGACAGCAGCAGCCGCAGCAGCACGAACTAGGGCAGCAGCAGCAGCAGCAGCAGCACTAGAAGAGCAGCAGCAGCAGCAGCAGCAGCAAGCTCAGCAGCTGCACTGCAGCGCGCACCGCAGCATCACCAGCAGCGACAGCAGCAGCAGCAAAAACGCAAACAAAGGTCAGCTGTCGCAGCAGCAGCGCTGCGCAGCAGCAGCAGCAGCAGCAGCGACAGCAGCAGCAGCAGCAATGACAGCAGCAGCAGCAGCAGCAGCAGCAGCGACTAAAGCAGCACCGCCTGTGCCAAGATGAGCGTCATCAGCAGCAGCGCCAGCAGCAGCTGTAGCAGCTGCAGCAGCAGCAGCGCGAATGCATATGCGAGAGCAACAGCAGCTGCAGGAGCAGAGGTTGCTGCAGCAGCAGCAGCAACTGCAGCAGCAGCAGCAGCAGCAGCAGCAGCAGCAGCAAAGTTGCTCAAGCATCATTTTTTTCTGCCTTCATCGTCATCAGCAGCAGCAGCTGCTGCTGCAGCAACGCTAGCTGGAGCAGCACAGCTGCAGCAGCAGACGAACTGCTGAAGCAGCTGCAGCAACAGCAGCAGCAGCAACAGCAGCAACAGCAGCAGCAGCAGCAGCAGCAGCATTTTATAAAGGGGCATATACACCCCGATCGGTTTGCATGCGCAG